ATGTACAGCCATTGTGGATATAGATTTGGCCATATCTAAAATTGATGGGAATTGAGCTACCATACGACCCAGCAATCCACCTACTAGGCATATACCCAGAAGAGGCAAGAAACAAACCATGGCCAGACATCTGTGCTCCAATGTTCATCGTGGCACAGTTCACAATTGCAAGGAGTAGGAAACAACCCAAATTTCCATCAACAGATGAATGGATAAAAAATTGTGGTACATATATATGCATCTCTAAAAGGCAGCAATGAATGCATGAAGCACATTGCTGCATGGGAAGAACTGGAGGAAATCATGCTAAGTGAAGTAAGTCAAACACAAAAGGACAAGTACAACATGAGTCTACTGAGATAAGCTTAAAAAAGAGCTCCCAAAAATGGGGTATAGGGGAAAAGCTACTATATACATACATCCCTGGGGTGATGTCCAGCAACTATGACAGGAGCCAAACCCAATCCAGGGATACATACAGCAGCCAAGTAATAAGAGGAGGAAAGAAATTTTTTAAAAAAGTCATGGGTAGGGGGAGAGCAGGGCACTAACCCACCCAAGGGGAGGGTATTGTTTATATCTTCACAGGATGGGGGAGAGAGACCAGGCTTCAACCCAATGTGCCAAAACATGAATAAAACATACAAGTATGTACCAGGGAACCAATAGAGAGGTATGCAGGGCTGGACCCAATCCCAACTATGTGGACACACACCATCCCCCTCAGAAGAAAGCACTTCAGAGGACAGCATTGGTCATACAGCTTGGGTAGAGGGGTTCATCTGATTAGAGCACATGGGAGAAATGAAAAGGGATGGAGAGGGAGGGGAGCACATCCTGGCCACCAAGCCCCGAGGACGATGCTCCTGCTCGGAGCAGACACCGCAGAGAGAGAACATAGGGCCGGCCCCACCACGAGACACAATGTCCCTCACTAAACCTTAGTGCTGCAGGGACAACACTGGAGACATAGTGTGGAAGCAGTGTACAATCTGACCCCATTACGCTGGAGCGGAACACTAAGGGCATGCAACAGAGCAGCAAGGGGAACAAAGTGAAGAAATCCGCGGGGAATACAAAAAATAGACATTGGAGACAGAGTGGCACCCCATCAGACTCAACTGGAAAACACTTGTAAAGGCCAACAAACACACCTTGAACTATTTATAGGTTTTTCCATTTTTGTCAGTGGCTTTCTTTTTGTGATTGCTATTTTGGTTTGGGGTTTTTTTTGGTTGTTGTTATTGTTTTGTTGTTTTTTACTTCCTTTGTTGTTTTATCTGGCTTTGCCTGATTTTTGTGCTTAGTAATGTAAGTGCATGTCTATCTTGATAAGATACGTGAGATAAATAATTCAGAGATGAAAAGAACGGGACCGATGGTTTGGGGGGGATACAGTAGAAAGGGAGGTGGGAAAAAGGAAGGGGAGGGGACCAACCCAGGGACAAGGGAACAACAAGTGAACTAAAATCAATGGAGAGAAGGGCAGAGGATGCCTGGTGGGGCTTAATCAAGGGCAATGTAGCAGCTAGGAATCACTAAACCCGAATGAAGGCCAAACATGATGGTGGGACAAGAGGAAAGTAAAAGGAAATAGAGGAAAGAACCAGGAAGCAAAGGTCATTTATAGAGGTCTAAATACAGGCATGTACATATGTAAATAGTTATATAACGAGAGGGGAACAGAACTATGTACTCATATCTATATGTTAAGAATTAAGGTTGCAATGGACATTGTGCCTCGACTCAAGTACTCCCTCAACACAAGAACACTTCGGTCTAAAAATCAGGCATTCTGTGATGCTCACCTTCCTGACAAGATTGCTGGTACATAAGCCAATGTGGTGAAGAAAGCTGATGGTCTCCAGCTATCAAAAGATAAAGTGTCTGGGGTCTTAAAGAATTGAAGATAAACAAGTGGCCATCTAGTTCAGAAGCAACAAAGCCCACATGGAAGAAACACACTAGCCTGTGTGATTATGAGGTGTCGATGGGATCAGGTATCAGGCATCTAAGATCCAAAACAAAATGATACCCAATGTGAATGGGGGTGGGGGACAGGTGGCATGGAGTGGAGACTCAATGTCCATATGTAGAAAATTGGACATCCCCTCTCAGAGGGGTCACAGGGTAGAGATGAGCCAGTCAGGGTGTAGTATAGCACCGATGAAACACACAAGTTTCCTCTAGTTCTTTGGTGCTTCCTTCCCCCCCACTATCATGACCTCAGTTCTACCTTACAAATCGGATTAGACCAGAACATGCACACTGCTACAGATAAGAGCCTG